AAGTAAAATATATCTTTTTAGATTAGTATGTGATTTATTATAATTAGAATAAAAGAAAAATATTGTATATCAATTTTAGTCCCCTAATAATTTGAAGAAAAACATAATATTAAAAAATATATATATTTTAACAAAAAAAAAGACAAAAAAATAGTTGAAGATGTAAATATTAGGGATTTTCCAAAAAGAATTAATTTATTAATCATTTTATAAAATAAAAAATTATTAAAATTACATATCCTAAAACATGTTTGCATATTTGATAATAAATTGAATAATTTATACATTTTTCTTGTAAATATTTAATACATAATAAAATAAATTGGATAAAAAGAATGATAAATTTGTGTTTTTCATAAGAAAATTGTGTTTTTCATACATCATAATTGTCTCATGTTTTTTATTCAAACAAATATTTATAGCAATTTTTAGTATAAATATTATCATTTTATCATTAAAGAATACAATTTGCATAGGTATACAATTATGTGCGTACATATTTCTAATACTAAATTAAAAGATATCATAAATATTAAGATATATTTTAGTTATAATTATGTGTAATCAATGATTTTTAGAAATATTATCTTAATAGTCAAATTTAAAAAAAAAAATGAAATGAGGTATAATTATTTTCTATTAATATTAGAGTTTAGATTTGGATATATTATTTAACTTTATAATCATTCTTTCATGTATTTGTATAAAAAATGTTTGAAAATTTGACAAATCAGTTACAATACAATACGTGTTGTCTATTCAAAAATCCACTTTTTCTTAGTATTATTTTAAATTTAAAAAATATAACAAATTTATGTATTTTATATAAAAAATTGTATGTTTATTCATCATAATCATCTCATATAATATTTAAATAATAGGATAATAGAATAAAATATCTAAAATAATATTTGAAAAACAATTATTTAAATTATTAGTTTATTTAAAACTTTAAAAAAATTCTTAGTAAAATATTTTTAAAACAAAAAATATATACACCAAAAATTATTTTTATAAAAAAAAGAACAAATAGATGATATTAATCATCCAATCTCATTCAATTAAAATGAATAACTTGATTTACCAAAAACATATATATTAATAAATAAATGTATGATAGAATTTTGAGATGTTTAGTAAAATAAACTAACTAAAATCGGCATCTATTCACACTATTAGTTTAGCTTAAAAATGACAAATGAAATTCAAACTTCAAATTTATTCAAATGCTATTGACACCTTACATTTGGCAAAAGATTGAGATATTAACCATTTATGTAATGTCCCTTTGAATTCAATTATTCCTTTTATAGGTAGCTAGTTCCTATATATTATACCCCATAAACAATAGGTGATTATCATTCCTCTCAAGTAACCAATGAAAGGTCCCTGATGTGTTCAAAATGTATAGAAAAAAATTAAAGACAGAACAATATACTTTCTATATATACATTTTGTTTAAATTTGCTAAATCAAAGATTATGTTATGTACTTAAGGGTTGTTTTTTTGTTCTTTTGTACTTAAGGGTAATTGATTAGCTCACAACACAAGTTTTAGTTAAATTACCCTATAAATTTAGTTTATTTGAAAATAATATTAATATTAGTTTATTTGAAAATAATATTAATATTAGTACGTAACATTTAATTTAAGTCCATTTACTAGTAATTTATACATACATGTGAAAGTATATCCAATAAATTTTACTTTAAAGATTATGACTTCATAACCTATCATGTATGTGGTTATTTTCTTCATATATGCTCTATAACAATAACTTCATAATTTAAATATATTTGATATATTTAACGTCATAAAATAAATATACAATTTAGATGTATTAATGATAGAAGACCATATATATTGTCATGTATACCTCATAGTATTTAATCACAAAAGTTAACGTTTAAATTATTTTATTTTGATATGTTATATTTTGAATATTAATTCACAAAATAAATAAATAAATATGTATTTTAATTAATACACTTTGAAGCACACAATGACCAACACGCAAAAACATTAAAACATTGATCACACAATCAAAGATGACATACAATGATATCACCATTAATCATATATATTTTGAATTATTCATGTAAGAAAAATATTTCTTTTTACAATTTCTTAGAGTTATTCTTTCTCTTTTGACATCACTTGGACTTTGAAAGAAAAAAATATTGATACAAAAAATATAAACAAATTAAACTCTTACTTTAAAAATAAAAACAAAAATTAAGTTAGAATTTAAGATAATATTTATATTTTAATAATTTATATTAATTAAGATAATTATTAATCTATTTTATTAGTAGATATATGTGTTTTTTTTATCACTCAATTAGTAGATATGTGTTGAATTCATAATTTATAGTATTAATTAAAGTAATTATTAATCTATTTTATATATAGATATGTGTTAAATTATTATCTTATCTTTAGTCATTGAATGGGTTGAGTTAGAGGTAAATTTTGTCTCAGCTCTGATAAATGTCAGATTTCTCTGCTCTATATTTATTATTTATTTAGTGAAATTTAATCGTTGTCAGTGTCTTTAATGAATATTATCTTTTCTATCTGTATCTGTATATCATAATGAAAAAATTTATATATCAAATATATTAAAATTTTAAATGAATATATCGTGTTGAATTCATTTATGTAGTTGTTTTTAGTCCAATGAATTAATTCAATATTTATTATAATTAATATAATAAAATTATAATTATTAAACAATAATAATAAATAAAATTATAATAAATCTACAATGGCACTTAGTTAAAATGAGATTTCTCTATCAAAATTGAAGCAGTTTGAAATACAATCAAATAATTTTAAATTTGGTCATATATTTATTAAAAAGGATTTTATCCTCGAATATGACAATATGTGTGCATATATCGATTTTCTTGTCATTTTTGCACGCAATAGAATATATGACAGCAATCCAATGTGTTAATTACAATTAAAGAGTTTTTGATTAGCTGTCACCTACCTATATTTGTGTTTAATTAAGTAATTAATTATTAGGATAAACATCACCAACAACCTTTCCCATTGATGCCAATCGCTGTCAATATATATGTAGCCTTTGTTCGTAGCTACAAATGAACATCCACGTCAGTTACATTACAGTTACTCCAAGGTGTTATATTTTCAATTCTTCAAAATAAAAAATAATGATATTAATTAATGAAAGCTATAACTAGAGTGTGCATTGTACATTTTAATTGAGACCCAAAACCATGAATGAAGTTACTATTCAGCTGTAAACTATTCATAATTATATTTCCGTACAAAATATTAAATTGTACTAGTACTTTTGTAATGGGTAATCTAGAGTATTAATTTGTATTTTCTCATAAAGAATATGGCTTAATTGTAATGAAATGTAAAGAAGTAAATTGAAATAAATGCTTTATGTAGTATAAATTATACTAATAATTTATCAAAATAAAGGTCTTGCGCAAGAATATACTACGTCCTAATTAAGAAGCCACGTGGCCCATCCATGTGCATTACCATGTGATATTGTGCAATACAAACTCAATCGACACCTTAAGCAATGTAGGAATCCCATAAAAGATTGGTAACCAATAGAACTTTGTAGACCAAATCTTTAAAGAATATCATAACATGTTCAATGCCAGAGCCTTAATTAATTAAAGTGTTTCTACATGTTTAATAGCATGATCCTTCTCCAGAAATGAAGTTTGAGAGGATTAGAATTAAAATGTTATCAGTTAGTAACACTGCAATTGTTCAAATATTGATCCTATTTTTATGTACACCCTTACACCCTACAAACAAAGGGGTTGTAACTACCTCTGTATTTCAGGTACAAAATTTTTTCAAAAAATATATTTGTAGTACTACCTATTAAGGTCCATTTGAACAACCTGGCTTAGTTCTTTAACCGTTGCTTTTTTTTTAGTAATGGTAGATGAATATGTACTACTCAATTCTGAGTATTTTTTTTTTATTATTCAGCATATTATTAAAAAAAATAATTAAATTAAATATCATGGAAATTATTTAAAGGACAAAAGAATCATCAAATCACTCTCTTTTCCAAATCAAAATAGTTTTGGATTCCTCCTCATTTCATCTGCAAATATTATATTTACATGATATTCACATTAAATATTTAGTCCATCTCAAAATATAAGAGAAAAAATAAAATCACATATATTAAAAAAAGTAAAAGTATGATAATTTAACTTATAATTTTCTTTATAAAAAAAATATATAGGATAATATGAAAATAATTTTAATTGATTGATAATTATAAAAATGATAAAAAAAATATAAATTAAATACAATTTACATTTAATTTTATTATAAAAAAAATAAAAATTGAATTTCTATTTTGAAACAACAAAATTTCTTTTATATTTTAGAACAGAGGGAGTAATTCTCATGCATAGAAACCATTAAACACAATAAAATTAGTGGGAGCATTTGCCTCGATACTATTAAACTTTACAAGATACACCTTTCAATCATTTTATTATATATTATTATTTATTATTATTTATTAAATAGCGGAAATAACAAGAAGAACCTATAATTATTTCCCTGCATGGACCCCTTAGCTTAATAATTAAACAAAAAAGTCGCAATGGAACACCGTCTATCACATGGTATAGTAGTCAGTTTCAATTAAAGTTAATGCATGATTAAGAGAAAGATTAAGAAAAACAGATACATCTAATCTAGCTCATGAATTAAAAAAATTATTTAATTTAGAGCAAGAAAAAACACTAATAATATCGAAATTAAGATTACAATTACAAATTACAGACAGAACTTTCATTGTTTTTACTTTTTTTTTTTTACTCTTTATTTTCCCTGCCTCGCTCGCTCACTCACTCACTGAGTCACTTTTCAGTAATCAACATCAAAGTTTAAGTTTCAACCAATCCACAACACTGATTGGTCATATTCTCATAATTAGTCCAATTAATTTCAACTCGCTCTTAATCTCCGCCGAGTCAACTCACTTGGACTCACTGAGTGGAAGCTTCCACGCGGAGGTAGCAATGAGTGACCTCGTGTGCCACCCAAGCATAAGACACCCATTATTCTCCTCCACCCTATACCCATCACCGCCGGCGAACAAAGCCAACAAAGTACTCGCTTGCTTAAACGCGTTTGAACCTAAATGAACCGGGTCGAACCCAGCTGAACCCATCCTCGACCTCCACTGAGTCAGTGTCTCATGTCTCTCGACTCGGTCCACACCTTCATAAGCCACCACGTTGCATATCTGTCTCCCCAAGTAAAGCTCCGACATCAACAGATCCTGACTCGAAGAACCGGGCCCGGTCGGGTTCGAATTAGACCCCTCCAGCGAATCAAATAAACTCGAGTAATAATGCAAAGCCTCCGTGAACCGGTCCATGAAAACCGGTCCGTTGTGATTCGCTTCTTGCTCCACGATAGTCACAATCTTAGGGTTAATCTTCTTAACAGTGTTGAGAACCTTATCAATGGAACCGGGTCGGGCCAACATGGTGTGAAGTTCGAAAACGGAGTTAACAGCAACAGCTTCACCGGGTCGGATCTCAAGCATATTCGGGTCAAGATCCGCAAGACTGGTGCAAACGAATCCGCGAAACTTGAACTGAACACCAATGGTTTGAGCAAGCTGAGCCAATTTCCAACCCACCTGTTGTAAAGCATCGGTGTTACCCGTCTGCGGTGGTCCGATTCCGGTTAACCGGAAAGTTGGTGGACCACCGGGACGTAATGCAAGTGCTTGCATAAGCGCTGGCCACTGCATCCCTTGTTTGAGACCAAAATCAATGACATGAACACTTGCAGCACCGGCGAAAGCTTCCAGAATAGCTTGATTAGCGGTGAAGTGAGCGAATTTGAGATAAGGACAAGATTCATAAAAGTGCATGTGAAGAGCATCAGATAAAGACGAATCAATGGTTTCATCTGGTGAAACCCTGTAGATTCTCCGATAGAAAGCTTGTGCGAAATACGAAGCAACTTTACCCATAGCACCAGTTTGCGACGGAGCCAAAATTCCGATACTCTTCACGAGTGTATCAGCAATCTTGAGATCATCACGATGAATCGCATCGGCACAAGCCATCATAGTGTGAATAAGACGAACCCCAGTTTCCTGCGAGTCAACGAGAACCACAGGTCTTGTAGTCTCCACCGGCGGTGATAACGCCGGCAGAAAAACATCTGATTCCGTTTCACTCTCCCATGTCTTCAATCTCTTGTTACTGACAGAGCCTTCGCTTTCGTTGTTTTGATTCTGGGTCTGAGGTGGGTACGCGGCCATTCCAGGAATAACACTGAGATCATACTGAGAGTTATCGTTGAAGATGGAAGACGAAGCGTCTAAAGGGTCATTGATTTGTGAATCGGTGGAAGGGTTGAGTTCAGTGAGCATGGTTTGAACCCATGAATATAGATCGGTAGGGTCGTAGTGAACTGTATCAGAAGCAAGATGGTTAATTCCTTCTTCTTGAGCACTACCCATCACCATCTCGAGTTGTTCAAGCTTTTGAGCAACGTCAAGCATGTCTGAAGAACGAACCTTGTAACCTAATGCCGCTAGTAACTCGTCCATTCCACCACTGCTGTCTTTCTCTTCTCTCCACAAACTTTGTTTCCCGTTTGTGTTGTTGTTGTTCTGCATTGATGAACATTCACCTCGTACACTTACAAAGTTGTTGCTGTTGTTGCTATTCGCACCTCCAGCAGAGGTTTCTTGGCGATCCCTTTTCATGTTGTTGGAGAAATTTGTAAAGTGAGGACACTAAAAGATTACAATTTAGAAATTGAATTGGGTGATATCATGGGCTGAATTTCAGAAATGGAAAAAAGGGTTTGAGAGAGGAGAAAGGGGAAACGGAGATAGAAGAGAGTGAAAATGAAAAAGATAAGGAAGAACGGAAGCCATAATAATAATAATGGAATTTTTTCAACTTTTTCCGGATTTTGGTATATAAAATTTTGCTAAAATAAAAAAGCTTTTTGATAATTGTGGGAGGGGAATTAATTGAATAATTAAAAAGGATTTACATTTGGGTGATCAAAGAGTGAAGAAGAAAGAATTAAGAAAGAAAGGTTTAGGAGGGTTGGTTGAAATAAATAGTTAATAAAAGTGGAGAGAGAGAAAGTGAGGAAGAGGGGAAGGGGTAGTACCGTAATTATGAAGAAAGATGCCCATGATAGTGTACAGCTCGTGCATAGCACAGAAACCATACACTAGAAATATCAGGTAGCCGTACACTTCATCAAATGAGGGTCTTGGGGACCGAGAATGATCTGGGCTCCACCTCTGTCCAATCTCTTTCACGCTCCTTCTTAGAGCGTGTGTTGTGTATTTTTTCTCACTCTCTGTATTTTGCTCACACTTTTTTAATTTGGGCCTCTAGTTGAGATTAGTACTTGTACAACTAACTAAAGAAATATTCGTGCATTCGCATAAGAATTTGTATTGTATGTGTAAAAAATACAAAAATATTATTGAAAAAAGAAAAATAAAAAATAAATTGTAAGATAATTATATAAGTTTTTAAAAATTATTATTGTTAAGAAAAATTTTATAAAAGACAATTGTGAAAAATAGAAAAAAATGTTTTTTTAGAATTTATAGAGTTGTAATAATAAATTTTTTTATAAAGTTTAATAAATTAGATAAATAAATATCCAAAATTAGAATTAATTGAAAATTAATAAAAAAGAAATTTTACATAAAAATCCAAAAATATAATTATCTAAAATATCCATCAAAAAATGTGGTTTAACATTTAGAATTTGAGAACTTGTTGAAGGTAAGAAAGAAGAATGATTTTGCTCTTGTAAATGATGTAGCTTATAATTATATAGTAACATTTTTATTTGAACTAACTCTTTACACTGATTTATTGGTAGACCACACGTATACAATTAATGCGCTCTCAATCTCAATCTTCACTCTCTTTAGAATATATATATATATATATATATATATATATATATATATATATATATATATATATATATATATATATATATATATATATATATATATATATATAGAAGAACTAATTAAGAGCCTATCAGTTAAGAGCACAAAATTTGAAGTTAAAAAAATTGAAAATAAAAATGAAACTCAACCTGTAATATAGAAAATTGCAATAAGTTGTTTTAAAAAGTACTTACACTTAAAGAATGAATATTTAAAAGGATGGTAGTACACACTTTACACCAATTGAAGGAGAATTCACAAGTTGCTTAACAGACAACAACTTCTTAATAATTCGGTAATGAATCTAACAGAAAAAATATATATTTATATGCATGTCAACATATACGAAATTATAAAAATTTGAATATATGTATCTAAAGGTTGATTTTAAAAATTTACATCTGAACTGTTTGATTTCATCATTTGAATATTTTTGTATCGGGAATATTAGCATAGCTTACAGGATTAAATTGAAACAACTCATGAAACTTATGACCAATGTCTTGCTCCTTGAAGAGCTCACATCAAATAATCGTTCTTCTAATCTCAGTCATCAATATTCTGGCAGTCTTGCTGAAGTCACTCGCCATCATTCAGTTAATCTCACCTTCAAACATGTACTGTGTGATACGGTGAGAGAACTGACTTGAGTGTTTTGCATTTTATCGCAAATATTGCGGTTAGCAAGAGTCGCCACCGACTTTTTTTATATCCAAAAAGAAATGCTGAAAAGAACAGGAAAGACCTTTGAGACTATTTCTTGAGTTCGGGGGGTAGATTATGAAAAGGGAAGGTGTTAGCACCCTTTTCATCCATAGTTATCTATGGACTCTTAGTTGCTTGCTAGATCACTTGTTTTTGTTTGAAAATGTGTTTTGTATGGTGTTTGAAAGTATTTTGAAAAGGCGTCATCGTTTAGGCAAACTTTGTAATAGTTCTCATTCGTAAGAACGTATACAAAGTGTTGTGCTTTTGAAAATGTTTCAAGTTTGAAAGATGTTTTGAAAGTGTTTTTGAAAGTGTTTGGTGTTTGTTTTGAAAATAAGCAAGAGTGTTTGATTTGAAATTGAGCAAGCAACTAGGAACAATCTACCTACTCAAAAGTATTAGTTCATTTCTTCCTTTCCTTTGATATTGTTATCTTACCATTGATTTGGTAAGAAGCCCTATCTTTGGATGTGAAGGGACGAGCGTGGGTCATCGTATTGCCATGATAGCAATGTTGTGAAATATCTTAGCAATTCTCTTTGAGGGACTAAGATCATTTTGATAGACAACTTTGATAGCGTCATCGATGGACTATGATCTTGTATTTTTTGATTGTTTTTGCTAAGATATTCCACATGCATAACATGGCCATTTTTATAAGGCAACAAAGTGGATTTTCCCTAAGGGTGTAAGTGTGCAACTGTGTTGATTTACATGCATTGTTTTGTCTTGAATTAGGGTTTGCTAACTTGTTGATTTTAATCTTTTCATACAAACTCTAATTTACTAGCATTTATATATAAAGCATTAAATTGCAGAAAATAAAAATACTAAGCTATTACATCAATAGGGGAGGGGGTGTACAAATTTACAAATGGGGAATTTGCAAGAAAATTAAATCTAATTAACTATTACAACCATATTGAATATTGTACAAAATTGAAGATAAAATGCAAGAATGCAAGAATGCAAAATGAAAAAAGAAATGCTTTTTATTTGATTTTATGAAAGGTTTTAATCTTGACCTACTTTAGAAAATGATTGATGAAAAATTAACTAAAATTAACTTAAACTAATTAAGAAAAGGAATTAATTAAAAATGATTTTTAGGATTTTTTATGAAAAGGTTTTTAAATTAAAAATGATAGGAAAATTAATTAATTAAAATAAACCTAAGTTTTAAATTAATTTTAATTAAGAAAAGAAAATAATATAATAATTAATCCTAAGTCTAAATATTAATTAATAAAAATAAATTAATTTGTTAAAAGAAAATGTTTTTGCTCTTTTTTGTATTTATAGAGAAAATAATATAAGTATAAATAATAAATAAAATATTTTTTATATTTTTATTAATAAATAATAATAATGATAATAATAATAATAATAAAAATAATAAGTAATATGAAAAAATTAAAATAAAGAAAAATAAAAAGAAATAATAAAAATAAAAGGGCCAGGGTGTATGAAACATAATCAGGGGGAAAGTCAACAAAAATAAAGGCCCAAAGGAGGAAAGCCCAGCACCTGTTACAAACAAAAAAAAGAGAGAAAAATAGAAAATATAACAAAAAATGGTAAAACGAATGTTGGGGCTCGAACCCAGATCCAAAGGGTGATAGGCGCGCGCTTTAACCACTGGGGTGGTGATACATCCGTTAACTTGTACACAACAATAAATACATAACACAAATTTTGCCCTGACTGTACTTCATCTTCAACCTCCAGCCAAAGGATCTCAAACTTGTTCATTTCTCAACCATTTTCAAAAATGTAAACATGAAACTTGTGCATTTTCCCACCACGAATCCAACCATGTAACTAACTTAAACTAACATTCAAAGATAAGGATGAATTTATGAAAGTATCAAATTCTGACCTAAATGTTTCAGTAAGTTCAAACTCAAAATTCTCCATGCTCAAGCAACATAAATGAAATCTATGGACATGTATAATTTCAGGGCAATGATGTCTACATTCTATCTTCATAAATGTAAGTCTAACAATGCCTAAATAATGAGATAGAAGTTCAAGAAAAATACCTTAAAACTGGAAATCGTGAAATGAGTTTGAGCTTGCTTCAAGTGATGGTGATGATCAGGTTAGCTTCCTTGAACCTCTAGGAAGCTAATGCAATACTTACTTGATGCTGGGAGTGCTTGAATCGTGCTAGAGAAGTCAAGATGAAAGCTCTATTTTTTGGTTATGGAAGTTGATGAAGATGGTGTTACAATTGGATAACATGTGTTTGGATTGTTTATGTATGGTGTTTAGAAGCTTTTGGAAGCAAAAGGCCAAGAAACGCACAAGTGGTTTTTGATTTTGGGATTTCTGACCAAAATATGCAACAATGGAGGTTTGTTATGCAAATCTGACTTTGGGTGTGTTTGAGGGCTTTCGTATTCGTCCCCTTGCTTGCAAATAACTTCTATAATTATATGGAAAAGGTTAGAGCACAAATGTACTCAAGACTTCTGAGTTCTAGCCTTTTGCCTCTATAACTTGCTTTTGAAGAAAAGTGAGAAGACAAATCTCAAAATGTTGTACAAGCATGTTCTGAGTTCAAAGAGGCTTTAGACACATTGATTTTGGGTTATATGGGTTGTGTGTGCAGAAAGGACAAGTGCAAAGCTCAAGAATTTGACAATTGTAAAAGTGATGGTTTATCAAAATGGAAATGACAACTTTGTGCCATAAATGGAAAATTACTTTGGACAAAGCTCAAACCAAGTGGATAAGGGCCTAAAGAGTTGTGGAAACCATTAATTATGGAGTGAAAAACAAGTTTGAGGCCTGCAAAGCAAAGATTATGCAGCCTAGGCTTGGATTTGAATTCTTGTTCATCATGGAAATGACCTATAATTCAAGAATGAATGTCCAACTTCTTGTCTTCGATTCTCTTTGCTCAAACATGATCTCAATGAGTTCTTGGACATTTTGTAAATCTTGTAACATCCTCTACAACCTCTATGTTAGTCATTTTTGAAAATTCCCCTTGGAACTATATGAAAAATTGTCATGAAGTTAGGTCAAAATCCTGCCTAAACTAGGGCAAAATTTCACTA